CTGCTACATCATTCGATCATGTTCTTCAGCAAATCGCGTGACAGAAATGGTCGGGCCGCAGGCCCGACCATCGCCGCCGGCAGGCCAAGCAGGCCCGGCCCCTGCCGAACGGAGTTGCCGGCGGAGCGAAGCGTAGCTGGCAACTTCGTTTGGCGGAAGGGCGGGCCTGCTTGTTTACAGTGACCATCATTTTGTTTTTTATGTTAATTGAGGGTTACAAGCACTCCAGTTTGTGCGTGTTAAGTCAAAGAGCATAGAAACTAGATCAACGAAGTTAATGTCTCAGTCTTCCCCAACTTTGATGTGTCTCATTCTCCCTCGTCCTGACTGTACAGAAATACTCCGCGTGGGAGTCCGGCATGGTGTTTGGATGCTGCTACGCTGCCGACTAGACGCACCCCAATGATTTACCCCCCGTACTTCCCTATCTTTGGCGCCATAGATCAGCGGCAATGGATTGGCACCACATATTTGCAGTGGACTGGCCGGGCCGGCGGGCCCCGCTGGCACGCAGCTTTGGAGAGATTCGTCTAATGCAATGTGTGTGATTGGCGATAAGGTCCTGCTGTGCCTGGGGAGCGCCACGAGAGCGCCGCCGTGCGCCGCCATAGGCGCGCCCTGCCCTGGGCTGAAGTGGCTAGGTATGGGCCGGGCCGCGCCGGGCCCCACGGCCCCGGGCCGCGCCATGCCGGCAGACACTCATAGCACTGCCAATGGCACGGCCCCACCCCAAGGCCCATGGCCCCAAGACTCATGGTCCCATGGCAGACCAGCCCAGTGAGGTGCAGATCGCCCGCCAGGCCGCCGCCGTCGACCGGGACGCCCCCGCGCCTGATAGAGTCGGCCACGACAACGCTCGCCGCAGGAGCCGCCCTGCCCTCCCGTCGCGCACCCCGCAAGTAGGAACACCCCGTCGGAACACCCCGTCGGAACACCCCGTCGGAACACCCCGCGTGAACGACGCGGCTGAGAGCGCCCCGGTGAGGAATAAGCACTTGCTCTCCACGACCAGGACCAGGACCAGCGACGCAGCGAGCGGCCCAACGACCCGCGCGCAGGTAACTGCAACCCCTACACCAGGGGTTTGCTTATAACATCCCCTCTCCTGCGCGTGCGGGAGCAAATTTCAATCCAAGCTGAGCTTATTTCATCTCCTACAAGAAAAATTGAAGTTCACCTAGAAAAGCCGCAGAACCCTTCGTCGTTTTAGAGGGACAGATTTGGACAGTCGACCCCAGGTGCTTGTCGTGAAGGCCATCAGATATCGAGTCCACCGGACCTCAATAATTCAAGTCCCCTAAAATCGAGTGATTTGAAACAAGAAACTCGCTTTCCTGGGTGTTGGCGGTGTGGACAATTTCTTATCGCAACGTATCCATGTGCATATCTGTCGCGCGACGTTCCGCTCTCGGATTTTGTCGAGTGCAACTCTGCTGACCCCGGCCGGCCTGCGACCCGCGACCCCACCGGGCACCGCCGCCCGGCACCGCCCGGCGCAGCCTGGGCCGCATTATGCAAGATTTTGTCATGCGTCGACGGAAACGTTATCAGTAATTGACTTTGTCGCGACGCGTAACGGGTTTCAATTTGTTTGAGTTCGCAGAGACTAATCGGTGTTCGCGGGGGTAAAAAAGTAAAGTAGCTCTGTGCTAATTCCGAGCTGATACAGAATGCCTCAAATAATAAAAAAAAATAACTACTAGAGAAGCCGCGTAGTGTCTTCGCTACATTTATAAAATACAACGGAGAGAAATGAAATGGAAAGCCGGAAAAATTAACGTCAAGGTCAGTTTGCACCGCAAACTTTGTGCCCGCGTCGCACTTGCGCAAACAAAACGAAAACTGCCAATACCTGGTCTTTCCTCTAATAGGTGGGGCATAGGCGAATCGTCTTTTGCAAACACGCAAACGCAAATGTGTCATCACCGGCCGTGAAAAATAAAAAGGTGACTGTTATGTCGCAGAAACTATTTTTCTTTTTGCAGTGCGCACTCCTAAGCTCGCGACGCCGAACGACGATGGGCTGTTTGTAAACCAAAACAGTGATTATAGGGCCGGCTCATAGGACGCGATTCAAGGACGGGAGAGGGGGGGATAATCTTCTCATCTAGCACTACTAGCAATAGCGCACTACACTACACGCCCAGTACTCGAGTCCAATTCGACCCACTGCCGCAACTACCGGACTGCATTTAATCGCTATCGCACTTTACGATTCTCGTTCACGCAACGATGTCCGCGCCCATATGTTTTCTTTCTCACGTCGTCAATAACGAGGAAAAACTGATCTGACTCTCTATCGCATCGTGTGGTCGTCAGGATGCGCATCCCGACGACAGAGTCAGATCCCGGTAGATAGAGTGCGAGAGAGAGGGGGAATGACCGAGATGACTGTCAAAGCTATCACCTCCTTATAGCCCATATTTCCCCACTCAGATTTGCATGCACCTGGCGGTGACGGCCCGACGCTCTCAGGCGATGGCCGACCGCCAACATCGCTTTCAGTGCTTCCAGGGCGTCCAGGAATGCATGACCTCTCTTGTTGACCAGGCTTGCCGATCCCGCTGACGCTGAGGGGAGTACCCGGACCCCGACCAGGATGACGACGCGGGAGCAGATGCCCATGGTAGGGCTGGAGAGCGGGCCGCAGCTGCAGAAGGGCGCGCTCAGGCCGCCCCGCCAGGAGGGCGCCAAGGGTATGCAGTACCTGGCCGGCTTCCTGGGTAAGTACGACACGACGACACGACTCGAGATTTTAATTTTCGCAAAAAAATATTTTTGGGAAATTTTTCATGATGGTTTAGTAAAAA